ACAATTTTAAGGCAGACTGTGTACAGACGCTTAGGGCAGATTGGTCTATATGCTCGTAGACCTGTCAGATGCGTTCCACTTATTGCAACTCACTGTCGCCTGCGGTTAGCCTGGAGTAGAGAGCATGCATTGTGGACACCGCAACAGTGGGCTTGTGTGATGTTTTCCGACGAGTCCAGGTTTAGCTTGCAGTCTGATTCTCGCCGGACTTTCACATGGAGAGCTCCAGGTACCCGTTACCACCAAGAAACATCATTGAACGACACCGTTACGGTGGTGCAGGAGTGCTCGTTTGGGGTGGAATTATTCTGGGTTGCAGAACTGACCTGCATGTTCAAATTGGAACCATGACAAGCCAAATCTATCGGGACGTCATTCTGGAACAACATGTAAGTTTGTTTCGGGGCGCCATGGGCGCACAATTTTTGTTTATGGATGACAACGCCCGTCCTCACCGTGCAAACATCGTAAGCGAAAGCCTTCAATAGGAGGATATCACCCGTATGGACTGGCCAGCATTCTCACCGGACTTGAATCTAGTAGAGCACGTGTGGGACATGCTTGGCCGACGAGTTGCAGCCTGTCCACCTCCTCCTACATGTCTACCGGAACTTCGGAGAGCATTGCTTTTTGAGTGGTGTAATATCCCCCAAGATCAGATCGATAATTTGATACTCAGCATGCCTAGGCGTGTATGGACTGTATTGCATCGTCTGGGAGACATACAATGTATTAACAGGTGTACCAACCATGTAATATTGGTTTTTTGTAAATAGGTTTCTTTTTGTAATTTGCTCCAGGGAAAAAAAATCGCTAATTTTTTTAATAATATCAAACATATAGCATCTTTTTTTGCTCTTTACCTTTTGTTTAATAAATAAGCTTTACAAATAAGTCAAATTTGTTTTGCTTCTAACTCTTCCTTTGCCTGATTTTGCATTATCCTTATTTTATGGACATGAGTGTATTTTGCACGCACACCAGTATCGTGAGTGTACTTTATAAACGATTATTTAATTTGTTTCACACAAAATCCCGCATCTTCTAGAATGCTACCTCACACCCTTTCCTACGGGCAGGGGTGACTTTCCGAAGGACTTTTTAAGGGAAATTGGCTTGTGTCCACGTTACATATGGGTAAAATCAGAAAAATTCCCATGCAGACAGCCTGTTTGCCAGGATACGAGCTCGGGTCGAACTATCAGAGTTCAGCTACTTTACCGCAGTTTTTGACATTTTTCTAAAGATTAACCTGAAGAGATCAGTTTGAGAAAGGAATCAAGCAAGACAATTTATCATTCTGAGGTAAATTTAGTCACTTGATACATAAAAATATATGAAATTAAATTTTTTATACAGGCCTTTTCTGACGAAATTTCCAAAACGAAAAGAAGTTGATATGTTGTTCATTATACTCTAAAGACTTTTTACGTTTTTTGGGTGAGACGGGAGAAGCAGAATATCCATAATATGCAAAATTATCCTGATAAATTTCCAAAACTGAATCATTTAAACTATTTTGATCCGAAATGGAAATTGAAATTTTTGGGGTCATATGAAATTGAGTTTCATATGAGATACTAAATTTAGGGTTTTACTGTTTCTATGACTGGAAACTGTAAACCGTTTCTTCAGTCTAAATGTTTATCTAACGGCAATGGTATCTACATGAGGAAAAGGGGAAATTTATACAATAATGCAGTTACTACATTACGTTCCACCATAATGTAGTTTTGCCGACCTAGGACAAGCCCATGGATCTGTTCTTGTCGCAGAACTAAAAAAGCCTATTGAATTCCTGCGATAACGTGCACTACAACTTCTACATGACGCATTACACTTCTATCGCGTTTTTCACCGCCTAATAACATCGCACTGATGATGCTAGATTAAGCTGAAATGGAACTGAAGTCAGCGATAACATTTTTGCTTATTTGTACTAATTTTTCTTTGAACTTCTTCCTTTTTTTTCCTTGTAGTAAAAGTTATTTTTTTTTTTAATTTTTAATTCAAAATTTAACAGCCTTAATTATCTTTATCAGTATCTGTATATGGTATCCAAATTTTTAATTTAAAATATTTAAGGTAATTTTAATCATTTCACAAGAAGGATTTTTTGAATATTTCGGTTTAGAAAAATCTTTTTCACATTGACATTTTTTTTAAGGATTTCCTAAAAAATTTAAGTCCCGTATTTTTTATGTGTTATCTGATGAAAATTATAATAGCTTAAAACCGTACCTTATTTGATCCATTTCCTAAATTGTAACCGGAATGTGAAGACAAGCCAATCAGGAGATGTAAGCCAGGTAATCTTTTCTAGTCATGTAACCTTTTTTGAAACGCCCTTAGTTTTCTGTAAAGGGGGCGGGCGGACTAATAACGGAAAAAGAATAAATGAGTTAAAATTAATAAGAGATTATCAATTAAAATTAATAAATGAAATTTATTGTGATAAAAAAAATGAAAAATTTAATGATGGAAAAGCGTCCTTAGCAATTTACGCAAACGTAAGCTGAAAATATGAATTATAACGTGTTTTCCTAACCTAATGAATATCAAATTTAATCTCTGAAATTGTAGAAATGAATTTACGCACCCCCCGCATGCCCACCCACCCTCTATTTACCGTCAGCCTGCTCTCGGATTTTTTTCACCACTCTCAGATCATATTTTTAGAATTCATTTTATTCTCACAATTGCATATTCGCATGATAAAGTTTTTTTTGTTATAAAAGAATGCTATCTACAAATCATGCAACTAAACAATACAAAATATAGCAAATTTATGGGAATTCAGTGTATCGCCATTGTAAATTCAAAGCTGCCTATCACAATAGCTCGTATATTTTTGGCTTTTCACAAACTTATTTCGTTTGATTGCAAAGTGCGCTCATTCGCGTAGACGCCATTTCCGCCGAAGAAAGATTCGATTGTTATGAAGTGTTGCAATTCATTCCATCTCACAATGCTCTTTTCAGAGACTAATTAAAGTGTTTTGAATTAAAGTGTTTATTGGCGCTTGGGAATATTTTGAAGAAGCGGATAGCAGAAAAGCATTTTAAAAATACATTTTGCTTATAATAGTTTAAGTCCTCATAGAATATTGTAATAATTTTGCCAAGGTTATTTATAGAAAATGCGGCTGTTCTGACACTGAGCACTTCACATTAAGAAGGAAAATAGTACAAGAATCAAACAGAGAGCGAGATGTATTTCTCAACCAGTTATATACATTAAAAATGAATAAAAAGATTGTATGTTATAATTATTTAAAGGCAACTGTTGTTTAACTATGTGCTAAGTCTATCTTCAAACTTTTTCTACTATCGAAACCTTTATATATATATATATATTTTTTTTTAATTCTTAGAACTATAATATTTGTGAAACCTCTAAAACTGTAAAATCGGTGGAACCCATAAACGTGTAATTTTCTTAAAATCCCCAAAAGTATAATTTTTTGGGTCTTCTAGAGGTATAAATTTTTCTGAAACCCCTTTTCTTATCATAAAAAAGAAGCGCTTAGTTATACTGAGATTCGATTACAATCGAAATTTAAGAAAGTTTCACAAAACAGCTCCAGTTTTTATCATTACTTAAATTTAGTTTCTTGAAGCCAAATGGATAATTATTTAGGATTTTAAAGAGTGGGATTGTTTCCTAAAAATATTTTGTTAGACTTTCTTACCAATTATTGAATAATAGCACAATATATTTTCGTAGGTTAAGGCTAGTTTCGCACTTCTATAAAACAACTAAGCTTTAAGTATGAGTTTTTTCTTTTGAGAACTACCTCTAACATTAAATTTTAAACACATGTAAAATTGCCTGAATCTGATAGTTTAAGCTTAAAAAATAAAATAACAACAAAAGAATATTTTTTGTTAATGTAAAACGCAAAACTTTGCAATATTTTGCCGCAGAAATAAAAACCGTGTTTAAAAAATCCACAGATCTAAGTATTGAACCTGAATGATCGCCATAGGATTATCCCCGCTTGTAATACTACTTTCCAGGAAACTATTACGTCAGGAAAATGACGTATTCATTTTTATGCTGTATTTTAACAACCCTGATTATTTTTATAGCTAATTTTGTTCTCAATGTATAATTTCTTTGTTGGCTTGACTTTCTATAAGTTCACTGAAACATTTATATATATAGGAAAGAAATACTGCACTTTTTGTGGGAAACGCTCTTCATAATATTTCCATCTTATTCAGAATCCGAGGCTTTTTTTTTTTTTTATTTATTTATTTATTTTAAATTTTTTTTTTTTTTTTTTTTTTTTTAAAGCCTACGCCATTTGCTTATTTTTCGACAAATTTGTGATGTCTGAGTTGATTCCCGTTCTCACGTTCGAAACAGGAAACATAAAAAAAAAAAAAAAAAAAAAAGTGCGCATTAATCTCGACGGGATTCGAACTCCGGGCTTCCTGAATGGTAGCCGAACGTGCTTCCAGTTACACAAGGAAGGCACACGGTAAGTTACTTTTACTACCTTACGTTTCTTCTCCACTTAAAAGGCGACTGGGAAAGACGGGCCGCAACCACCAAATCAGAATCCTTATGCAAGGAAGAGGAATTTATTAATTAGCGTAACATAGGCACGCTACAGTATAAACGTTTTTTTCTTTTCATTTTATTGCTTGGAATCAAAGTTTCTTTGTAATATCTAATCAAATGTACTCGTAATTGATAGCTTTTATATAACTTGGTCCCTATTACATCACTGGAGTTGAACCAAAAGTAAATGGTTAGAAAAAAATCATAATTTGTAACTGTAAGCTTCAACACCAAATATTTTAAAGCAAGCTGTTTTGTTAATTTTTGAATTTTTCATTGAATTTTATAATTTATGGCAACGCCTAGACTTGACTATATGAAATATATTTCCGTTTTTTGTTCTGGCAACTGTTTAGTTTAGTGTTTAAATGTATATTTAGCGTTCAAGGATTTAAAAGAATAATTTCATTAATATGAATAAACTATGTATTCATGTGTGACTCTACTCGTAGCAGTAATACTGAGTTGTGATATGGTAATAAATGAAAAAATATTTACTGAGCATAAAAATTTCTACGAAGTTGTTGATTGTCATGTTTTAGTTCCTAAAATTAAACGTAGCCTCGATGATTGGAAAGATAAAGAGAAAAGGTTTCACCAAATTGCTGATGCTGAAGTTCAATTCGTATCTTTTAACAAAAGCTTCCATTTACTTCTTTATGAAGATCTTTTATTCAGAAACTTGACTATTAGTTTTTTCCTCTCAAATAACTCGTCAGAATCTGTAAGTGTTAAATCCAGATTTTATGAAGGAAAAATGAAAAGCGGTGAATTGCCATCGTATGTTTCCGGATTTTTACATAAAGGTATTTTCTCTGGAATCGTCGGAGAGGGAAATGTTGCGTATTTTATCGAGCCAGCTTATCTCTTTTTTAATGATACCTATTCTCGCCAAATTGTTGTCTACAGAAATGAGGAGGATTTGCAAACTGAAACAAAGAATATCTGTTCTATTAAGTTAGGTAAAAAATTATCTCGAAATAAATTTACTTCATATTTGCCCAAGGGAATTAATAAAACTGCAAATCCAAATGCTGAATATGCGTGCTCAGTTGAAATGGTTGCTGACCATACTTTATATAAATACTATAGCGAAGACATAGATTTTACTAGTGCATTTCTTTACCTGCACGCAAAATATGCTGACTTCATCTTCAGGAGAACAGATTTTGACGACGATGGAAAACCAGATGGAATAAGGATAATAGTCGAAAATATTTTTATTTATAAAACTGCCAATGATCCAAATTATCCAATGGTGAACAGTCCAAACCTACTGTCATTCTTGAAGTTGTTTTCGTATAGGTATCAAAACTATTGCCTATCTATCTGTATGTGCTATCGAAGCTATCCATCTTCTGATATCGGTCAAGCTTTCAAAGCAAGTCATGGACTAGGAACTGCTCCAGGTGGGATTTGCCAGAAACCTCTTAAAGTTCATTCTTTAACTGGAACTGTTAATCAGGCATTGAATATAGCTGTTGTAACGATTCGAAACTCAAATGGAGATACGTTACCTATGCAAATTTCTTTATTAGCTGTTGCTCATGAAATAGGGCATGGTTTTGGCAGTGGTCATGATCCAGCGCATAGTTTGGAATGCTCTCCAGGGAGTGAAAAGGGATTTTACTTAATGCATCCCAAAACTGTGGCCGGTAGGAAACCTCTAAGTCAATACTTTTCACCGTGTAGTCGTAAAGATATAAATAAGACTATATCGACACGTGGAGAATGCTTGAAAGTACTCCCATCAGTTTGTGGAAATGCTGTTCGTGAGGGTGACGAAGAATGTGACTGTGGCTGGGAAAAGTCTTGCGCGCTTATTGATCATTGCTGCACACCTTCTGATGCGAAACTTCCCGAGAAACCTTGCACGTTCCGTTCAAGTAAAGGTGCTTCTTGCAGTAATAAAGAGAACAACTGTTGTACACGTGACTGTAAACCAAATGAAGATAGAAGTATGATTTGTTTTGAAAACGACATTTCGTGTTTAATAAGTCATTGTGAAGGTAATAGTGGTACTTGTCCACTGCCCATGAAGGCACCAGATAAATACCCTTGCCAAGGAACTTCAAGGACATGTATGGGAGGAGTTTGTAACAGTACTGTTTGTTTAGATAATAATCTTATAGATTGTTCCTGTACTAACACAAAATTATATGAATGCCATATATGTTGCATAAAGAACAACAGCTGTGTCCCAGCTTTTTTACTTGGATTTAAAGCAGTTACTGGCAAGATGTTTCTGGCAAAAGAGGGAACATCATGTAGATTTGGTAAATATCAGTGCGATGGATCAGGAAATTGCATTGATCCTATAAATCGGAAGTACGTCTATGGAGAAAGCAGTGATCATACATATGTATGGTTGAGTTTAGGTATTCTATTAGCTGTTCTTTCGATGCTTCCTCTTATTTTTTATTATTTTATAAAGAAAAATAAACCAGCGTAAATATAAACTTCACGTTATTTTTATTAATATTCTCAAACTATCAACAATCAATTATATAATTATAATTTATTAGAAATAAATTCTTTTGTTTCTGTAGCAATGTACTTGAATTTTTATTTAAAACTCATATATGTTAATATCTCTGGAAGCTGACATTATATCATTCACCAATACCCGCATAGAATTCATAAATTTCCAAATAATTAATAAAAAAAGCTTAAAAACTTTATATGTGCAGATGAGAAAATTGCATTGGAAATCAAAATTAATGTATGTAGTAGTCTTTAAAGCACACAAAACAAGAGAAAAACGTTAAATTTTCGGGATAGAGTAAACACTGTTAAAAAACTAATAAAAAAAAACTAACATCCGGTACCGCATGTCAATACAGAAACTTTTAGTTATTAATACCAACCATATAAAAAGCAGGAATTCTGTTAAATCACATAAAGCAACTAAAATAGTTGGGATTTCTCTATCCAATAATACAGCATTTTAGTCGAGTTAATTAATTAGTAAATTTAAATAAAATTTTTAACATTAAATATCATGCCGTATAGAGAAAAAAGTGCTAGTGTTATTTTTGAGTCAAATCTTTGGCACAGTATGAGCGGAGACATTGTAAGTATTCGTCATATACAAGGATTACTTTTCATTCCTACAGATATTTTAGTTCCTAGTATCTCGTATTTCAAGTCAATTATTACAAAATGCAGTTACGACCTAATTAAATATAATATCTTTCATGTGGAAATTTTCTATAAGAATCTATATCTAGTGGAAAGACATGCTTGCCTTAGCATAATATATTATTATTGTAGTCATATAAATATTTATTCTACACTTTTGTGTGTAATTATGGCACCATTGTTTATGGCACCATTGTATTGGAGAAAATATTAAAAATGGAGGTCGCAGCTATATCTCAGTAAGCTCTTCCCTTCCTTCCCCCCCAAAATGTATTTTCGTTGATATGTTGTGTACTATATTCGTGGCAGCACCACTGCAATGCGATTGTTGCGTATTCATTAAAGAAGTGCAATGAAAGACACAACCTTAAAGTTACAATTAATTGCAGTCCACTGAGGATGTATTTAAACTAATATTAAAATGAAACGACGAAAGAGGTTTTACAGGCTCAGTGGGTATATTTAATATGGCACATATTATGCAACGTGCTTTTTTTTATGCCTGTACAGTGAAATTGCTTGAGCTATGCCTGTATAAAAGACGTCTTAACCATGCACACACATTATAACATCATGCTATAAAAAAGAAAAATAATGTTAAAGCCATACGAGCTATACTGGTACAGGTTAAAACAAGGCCTGCACTTTTGTATCCAAGTAAGCATATTAAATATCGTCTTGCCTTTGTAACTGCTTAGCTTCTTCCCCAGTTGGAATTCTGAGGGAGAAAGCCCCGGGGTTCAGTTCCGAGGATGTTCCACACCTCCTCCTCTACCATGAACTTCTCGAAAGGATTTCGCCTTGCCGAGTATTTTGGGTGTCCCTTTACCGCTCATGCACTATATGCTTACGACATACATGCTGATTCGAACCTGCGCTCTTCGACATGCTGTCTGAGACACTATTCCGTTTGGGCAGCATACAAGCCAATAAAGAAGGCAAACTGGGATAATTCTACATTTTACATTAGATACATTTATTATGCCCATCTACATAGCAGACGTGTTGTAAATTCAGGAGGTAGGAGTCTATGATTAAATAAAATAGTCAACTTCAAAAATCTGATAACTGAATATGCCATTATATGGAGCATATGTGCATTCGTTTCTCTTTATTAAATTATTGTTCTTTGTAGCGAGTACGTAAACTATTTCCATTTTAAGATTATGATGACTATTTCTGTTTCTGATGAAATAGAAAGCATCTCAAGTATGCTCCTGAGAACTTTGTTTTAATATTTTTGCAACAGTTTGATGTTATAATATAGAGAAGAAGCCATACAAAATAGACATGGTTGAACAAAAGCCGAATAATCTCTTTGTGCAAATTTGTATGAATGAATCTCTTTGGTTCTGAAGAAAAAGGTCCTATGAGTGGTCACTCTGAAAATCGATAGCGTTATTTTATTATTATTATTTTTTAATTCAAAATGTAAGCTAGTTCGTAGTTGTTTTTACCTAATTTTATTTTTTATATTTTCGTATTTGCCTTCCAGTTATGCCTTACAGTTTGTCAATGTGTGTATGATTGACAATACATCACATTACCGAACGCTATCCAACCACTGTCTGCTTTCGAGCTGCTTTTAAGTTCAGTGCTTATTCATTCAAATGATGCGGTGACTCTTTCCTTCGAACAGACAAGAATTTGAATTTTTTCACTGCAAATGCATTCACGTAACTCCCAAAAATCGCAAAGTTTATGTAAAGTATGATAATACTCCATGCTGTTGATAAATGGTGCGAAGTTAAATCAGATTAATTGAATATGGACTCTCGACTTAAGGGAAGGGATGCCTTCTTCGAAAATTTTCTAAGGGAAATTGGTTCATATTCACGTTGCGTATGGAGAAAACTACGAAAACCATGCCCGTTCTAGAATCGAATCCGGTTCGAACTCCCAGCATTCAGCAATCTTAATTAGTTGGCCATTAAAGGAATTCATTGGTAGGCCATTAAATGATGTAATGGGATTCCATGCGCTTGAGGAGGGTCACATAAATATATTCCAAAATGTATAATATACACTGCGGTTGACAGCAGTGTTTAAAATCTTCTTTATTTTGTTCGGAATCGAATAGGGAGTAATGTAGTTATCTTTAGAACAAAAGTAAGTTGAAACCTGAATCATTTCTTCTCAGTACGGCTGAATCTCTGAAGCTGCAATAGTATGACAGGAGACAGAATGCATGCAAGTGTGCAATAGATGTATCTTACATGTATACATGTGCTATGTTATATACATGTGCTTATCAAATACAGATCAGGAATGCTTCACATCACGAACAAATTAGCTGAACAAAAAACGCCTCAGATGATGAACTGTGTCTCGGGTTACAAACACTCAGGTTAGCAACAAATGATTTTCAAAAGGTATTCTAACCTAACCTTTGCAACTCAGGGACTTCTTGAAACATCATTTTTATATTTTCTATTGCTTAACTCTCATTAACAAAGCATGGCAGCAAGTGACTTTGCAGGAGAGGTTTCAAACTAGAGACCCCCGAAGCAATTTTACTAGGCCCTCGAATGCATTTCAGTTATGCATTTGTTGTAAATACGGCGTTTATAGTTTTAAAGCGTTTAAAGACATAGAGACTGAGTTTACGCGCGAGACTACTATTGAATGAAAAAAATATAGAAGACTCAGGCCTTTTCACTAATATGCTTGTATGCTTGGATACGTGATTGGGGTAAGGTGAAGAATTTCTCACGTCGGTACAATCAACTTAATTTGGCCTGCCAACAGTTAGCAGTGCTTTAGTGTTCTTCCTGTTTTTTCTGTAGTATGTAGAAATTTCCTTTAGAAATTTCCTTAGAATTTCCTCCACGAAGGCATCCCTCCCCTTAGGCAGAGAGCCTTCGAGTTCTTTGCCATAATCAAATAAACCAAACCAAACTGTGTGTCTATTCTTCAGCTTAGAGAATTTAAGAATGAATGCATAGCGGGCGTTACTAAAGAATCATATAAACTACCTCCACAAGGATGAACTGCAACTGTCTCAACCAATAACAAAAGGCGATTGTGAAGGAATTGCCTTCAGAGGATGGTTTGGTTTGGTTTATGTGATCATGGCAAAAGCTTGAGGGCTATCTGCCTAAGAGGAATTATGACTTCGGGGTGGAGGACTTTCTACGCTGGTGGGCCTTTGTTTTCTGAGGAAGGAGACGGAAACAAAGATGATCCTAATTCATCGACTCGCGAGATTTTTACCAGAGGAGGCCAAGATGCAAAATGTTCAGTTATAATACCACCATGATAAAACAGTAGCCGGCTAAAGCATTTTCACTGACAATGTTATGTATTTCTTCAGAAACATTTTTAAACACAGGCAAAGTTTTAGTGAAACGAAAATCCAGTGAGTCTTAAGTAGAGTCATTTACTGTCCTTCGTACAGGTGCGCTAAAATTAAATTCAATTTTCGCCTGTTTTATCTGTTTGATATCTTTTTTGTTATAGAATTAATGATTTCCATTTTTTTTTTTTTTTGTGTGTGTGTGTGTGTGTCATGAACTTGTACACAAAGTACAGTTGTAAAGTTCAAAAACGTTATTACCTATAATCCAAGACCGAATTAATCATTTTACATTAATTCTTATAGGGAAAATAGTTTCGGTTTACGAACGTTTCGGATGATGAACAGCCTTCAGGAGCAAATTAAATTCATAAACCGAGGTTTCATTGCATTATGTGATGTACAGTTTTTCTCCAGATCATAAAAATAGTGTTCCTGGTAAGTTTTTTGTGAACCGAAACGGCGTAAAGCAAGGAAACAATGACTGTTAATATCCTTAGGAAATATTTATAAGTGTACTCAAGCCAGAAATAGAATATGAATATTCTAGATAGCACACAAAACTTAAAGTATCCCCAATGTGTAGCAAACGCAAAAGTGATACGTTAAATACGTACTTCACAACTCCGTTTATTGAGAATTTTAGTTATATTTTGAAGGATAAGGCTGTTGTCGAACGCTGAATAACAGCATTTTGAGAAGTGACTTGATTTTGGGAAGTGTTTGACGGAGCACAGGAAAGATGAATTTAAGTTCTTATTGGCAATATTCAGTAAGTCGCCTGGCAATATAATGTGACATAATGATCCGAGAATTTGTAAAATCTTGATTAGAAATTTTTGTCGCCTAAATAATAAAATGAAGGAAAAAAAATTTAAGCCAAAATTCTTTACTTTTTAGACAATATTTAGCAAAATATATGAGAAGCATAACTATCAACTAAACTTTCTTTGGAGTGCTATATTTTTGGAAATGAGGTAAAACTTCCAGAAGAATAATATAATGAATCCTATTGTG